AACCATCCCAGACAGATGCCTATCCAGCATCCTCTTGAAAACCTCCATCAAAGGAGATTCTGTCTCTTCCCTGGGTAGCTTATCCCAGTGTCTTAACTTTTCTTACAGTTAGAAAGTTTATTTCCGAGGTTTAATCTAAATATACTTCGCTGCCATCAACTCTCTTTTCAAAGTTGTTCCCACAAGCAAGTGTTGCTATGCCTGACAATGCATGGCATGAAAAACTAACCCAGGTGTGGGAAAGCTGACGTAGTGCAGGCTAGGGACTACATAATGATCCCAGTGTCATAGAAATGCTGGTCATGCCAGAGCCACAAATCACATCATGCAGTATTTATAACACCGTACCCTTCTTTTAAACAAATTGTTATCCCTTAAGTAGGTTGAGCTTTCAATAGGCACCACGTATGTAATTCACTTCAGTGGCTTTTTGTTGCCTGAATCAAGCAGCCATGTTAGCCCCTGAGATGCAGATGAAGTATTAGTTATATGGGGAAGGTTTTGTCTGTGTGCCCCTGTGTTTTATAAAAGGGAAATGTTTTAACACATAGTAACAAGTTGTGCAAATCAGTGCTGGAACTGCAGCCAAATGATACAATTAGAGCTCTCGTTGTCAACAAATGATCATGCAAATTTGTTCTCTCTGATATAAATCAATGAGGAGACATGACTAAGCATCTATTAATATGAGTTTGGAGGAGGGAAAATGCTGCTGCATGTTTCCTGAAGTTCCCTAATGGGGAAAAAACTTACAGTAGAATAAAACAGAGTCTATTGCAATCCATTTGTAGCTTCAACCGTTGAGCTAGGAATGGGCAAGATCATCTTACGGCCCTTTGATCTGACTTTCACCTTTGTGGGAGGACAGGTACCTTCCAGGGTTGACATGGGAAATTTCCTCTGGTAACACCTGGTGATAACTTAGACATTTCACAGAGGGCAGGAGTGTGTTACCACCTTGGCTCTTCAGCTTCAACTGTATCAGCTTGTGCTTTTAGCTCTGGAGACTCTGAGCTGCATTTTGGTGAGTCAGCCAGAACAGCGGCTGTCACCCTAATGTTCCCTATGGCTAAGGCTGGGCCTTGTACTGGCGTACTCCCTACATCAGTGGTTTTCAACCTTTTTCCATTTGTGGACCCCTAAAAAATTTTGAATGGAGGTGCAGACCCCTTTGAATTGTAAGTGTGGGTATTCACACTGTTGATTGATCATAGTCATCTTTCACAGCCCCTGTAGATATAGTCTGTGGACCACAGGGGTCCATGGACCACAGGTTGACAACCCCACTGCCCTACAGCAAAGGAGGCACCACCAAGAAACTCCAGCTGGGTTGAGTCCTGTTGGACCCACAGTACCTGTCAGTCTCTCCGAGCAAAGCCTTTTCATGAGCAGGAACCAAGTGCCAGGCAAACTCATTTGATGACCTTTTTGTATTTAAATTAATAACGAGAGGGGAGAAATTACCACTCATCTGTGTGATCAATAAGGAGGAAAAAAATAATCAAGCCCCATTTCTCACACCTCCTTCAGCTGTTTGACTATTCACAGATACAGTTTTATGAATTGCCATATGCCAAGGATGTTATGACTGTTTTATAGCCTCTAATTAGAAAGAGGAATCAAAGTGGAAAAGATGTATGAATATTTGGAGCTCTTCACTTCTTGCTTCCTATGATTCTCTCCTGTGACATCTGCAGGGTTTCAGGTTCACAGACCTTCCTATGCACGTGATTGTGCAGTTCCTCACAGAAAAGCCCTGGGACTCAGTTATCACCTTTTTCAATTAGGTTGCTTGACACCCACAGTCTGACTCCTGCCAGGTGTGTTAGGCCCAGGCTGAGTAACGCAGAAGCTGTGATTTACAAAACAGGAGCTTGAAGTTAGCCCCTATTTCCTTATTCTGACATCTCAGCCAAGGTCTCTGGTTGGCCAGGGAGGCTGAGCACCCGGCAGCTCCCAATAAAGCCAGGTTAGTTGCCAAAATACGAACTGGAGAACCTCAGTAGAGTCACCGGCTTTTGAAAATCTGTGTCAGCTCATACTGTCTAGCACCCCTGCACATTCAGGGAGTCAACAGCAAAATTCCCATTGATTTCCCTGGGCTGAACATGTGTTTGCCTACAGCGCACTGGTAGCTTGTCCCACAGTGATGCCCAAAGCCCCTTACCCACTCCAGCACCCGGAAATATTTCCAGGAGACCATTCCAGGGTCCAGCACCCCTGAAAAGGCCCCCTTGCTCTGGGTTTGGAGCATGGCAGTGAAATGGGTGTGTGGGGTATGTTTGGACACACTCCCTGCCCAGGACATGCTGCCGACACAGTGCAGTCAGACCCCAAAGTCCTGGCTTCAAGGCAGTAGTGCCAGGATGAAACACTGCAGACCCTGCCACACACGGGAATCTATTTTTGAATCAGATGACCAGATTATTTTCGTTCCGAAGCTTTTGCCTCACTGACAATGATTTTGTTGGCATAAAAAAAAAACCCAACCCCCTCAATCTTCACGAAGACTTTGCTTATTTGACCCACATGCTGCCATGTTCATGGCTGCACTCTAATATCACAATAACTGGATACAACCCAGTGCCGCTGCAGACGTCAGTCTTTTATGTTCTTCTCAGTGACCCATTTCTGAAGGACAAAGCTCAGCTCCAGCCACAGGGAGGGGAGGAAGTGAGCGTGTTCTCATGTAACTAAAACATCTCTAAATGGATTCAAATGCAATCAGAACCATTTCTTGTCCTCTGCTCATTAAATGGGCATCACCACAGGAAACCCAAGCTGACAGCAACTTTGCATGTCAGCCTAGACTCTACAACAGAGAGCAGCCAATGTTTGCCAAGAGAGCAGGCCTCTCGTTGAAGAGAAGAGACCTGCAAGTGTTTGGATCATCTGCATATACATTAATCAAAGGATAACCACAGAACCGAACCCTTTCTTTGGGAGACTGGTGGGAGACATGGCTGATTTGGGCTGGATCCTAGACTCGTTGCAGCTGTGTTGCCCGTAATGCTATGCTCCGTTACCTCAGCTGAAGATCTGAGCTCTTTCATCCTTACTGCTGTTCTTTCACAGACTGCCTGCTGTTAGTCATAGCTTTCTAGTCCCCGGTGAAGCTGCAGAATATCTTATTTGAAATGTTGCCATTATTACTGCAGGGCCAATAGATACTAGGAGCTTTGTGAGCAAGCTGGGAGATAAGCTCTCCATCCCAAAGCACATCTGGTCTAATAGCAGACTTTGTGTCATGAATGCCGACGCTTGCGTTGATCTGGATGCTCGCGATGTGCACCTGCTCTCTGCCCTCTTCTCGTTGAACTGTGTAATTTATTGGCTAGAAAAGAGCTCATGAGCCGCTGCTCTCCTACCTGCTATGATGTGGAGCATGCATCAGCCTACGTCTGATACCATTGGTCATGGATCCAGATGGGATGAAAGGGGGGATGAATGGCTTGTACCATATAATCTCCTTTAATGGGATTAAGAAAAATACACCGGGAAAAATGTCCAAGTCCCTTAGGTCCCTTGTAAAGCCTGTTTTAGCTTTTGAGAAGCAACAAGGTGAAGTTAGTTGACTGATATGTCTCTGCATGCGTGGATTTTGCTACACCCTGTTTATGACCCCCGGTTCCATCGTTACCCCTGTGCGTTATCACTGCAAGGCCACCTGTTGCCAGGAGAAGTGCAGTTCCATGATGCAGCAAAGCTAATGAAAGAAGAGATGAATCCCAAATAGGAGCAAGGAGTCCCAGCAGAATGCTGTCATCCATTAGCAACAGCTAGCAGCTAGCCTTGGCCGGCTGGCTGAGCTCAAAGGGGTTGTTGTACTTGGGGGGGGAGGCATGCTGGCTGAAGAACTGTTGCACTGTTAAACACCCAGTCTCATGCTCACACATTGTCACTTATTTCTGTGGTATTAAGTCCTCTTCTATCATGTTTCACTCCATGCTGGTATCACAGAGGAGTGTCGCCCAGTGATGGGTGCCTGTGCACAGGCACAGACAGAGAAAACCCCTGTCCTCAAGTGTTTATAGCTTAAATAACTGAGGCATGGAAAGACGGGATTTCCTAGTTCACTGTGTCCCCAGCATGTCCTGAGTGTGCCCCACCCTCCCACTGTCAGGCTTTTCAACCTGAAATGGCACAAGCAAAGCTAGGACCATCCCCACTGACAGCTCTTGAGACCTCAGTCTCTGCTTTGGGGTTGTCCCCACCACCTGCTTCCAAGAACACCAATGTCACAGCCATATTCCTGGATTACGGGGCAAGCAGGGTGTGATCAGAAGTGTCCTGCTGGGGATACAGGACAGAGATCCCTCTGAGGTGCCCCAGTCCTACTGACTGTCAGTGAGACCTGCTGCCAAATCACCCGGGTGCTTGGGAAAATCCCAGCTGAGTAGACCCTTCCTCGCCCACTTCCCAGTTGTTTGTATTCACTGGGAGAAAGCGTGTGTGTGTGTGAGGTGCTCTCTGTTTCCCCGGTGCCCTTTCACATAGCTGTAGGAGACTGTGTTTTAATAAAGCCCCTTGGTCTTCTAGTCTTACAAACAGCTGCAATGCATGACCCTCATCACAACATGCCCTCCACACACCAACAGCAAGAGCCTTCTGCCAGGTTCCTCTCCCCTGTGGGTGGCCCATGTTTCTGCGAGGATCAGATGTTCCCTTTCTAGTGCAGTGGCTCAGTGCCACAGTCTTAGCAGTTATTAGAGAAACGTATCGTCTCCAGACTTACCATCAAAGTAGAAGCTCCCTTGACAGAGACATGCAGCGATCTGACTTAAAAGAAGGCACAGAAGTGAATCAGGAAATAATCTTTGCCAAGTAGCCTCTGTCTGAGCCAGTTGATGTTCAATAGAAAAAAATAACGGATGTTCCTCTTTGTTTAATGCCAAGCCAAGGCTCTCATGGAGTCTAACCTCTCATTTTACTTCCTAAACAACATATTACATAAGGCCCCCCCGGATCTACCTGATCTTTTGCTTCTCTTTCGAAAACAGGCACGCAAGCCCAGCTGGCCTCTTGCTGACGGCTCTAGTGGCAATTTCCTATGTGGTGGCAATGCAGTATGAGGGGTAAGTAGCTTTTCAAGAGCAGGGGAGAAGAATCATTGGAAACTAGCTTGTATTCAGGCTTTCAGGGAATTGCAGCAAGTGGTTTTTCCAGGTAGTAAGGATTAAAAAGCAGGCTTGGTTCTTTTCATTTGCCTTGAGAGCGGGCAGCTTCCTGTTGTAAAAAGTTTGCAAGGCGCTAGGTTTTGTATCATCTTTTAAGTGAAAAGCGGGTGTTTTTATGTTTTTGCCTTGGATCGATCACTTCAAGAAGTCCCTGGGAAGGTGGTGGGTATTCTCAGGAGGCTGTGCACAACAGAGCTGGCATGTGGCCCTTCCACTTCATGGCACCTCTGATGCTTTGCACAGGGCTGGAGCAGCTCAGCACTTCCACCAGAGGCACCTATTCTGCTTCAGATGCATTTGAAATCTCTAGCACTGCTAAAGGGGGTTGCAAAGGACATAGAGGGAAAGCTGAGCCTCTTCAGGGCATGAAAGAGAGGCTGAAAATTTGGGAGAGGAGAGTTAGTATATTAAAGGCTTTTTCCTGCTTATTTTTTCTTCCTTCCTTGCTTTTAATGTTGCCTCAAGGTAGAGGAAGAGAGTGGGTTCAAAGGGCTGCTTTTCAACTGTGGCCAAGCTGCATGTGACTCAGGTCGGAGCAGGGGTGCACAAAGGGGTTGGAGAGCCCCCACTGTGTACTGCCTTCAGCCTGTCACAGCTCTGTGCTGGGCCAGTGCCCCTGCACCAGGCTGGAGCAGCCTGGGGGCTGCTTTCATCTACACAAGCCTTGTGTGGTCCAAAAACAGTGGAAAGCTGAGGACTTGCACGGCTGTGTCGCATCTTGGCTGCCCTCTGCTTTCCCTGCTACACTTGCTGCCATTAAGGGATGGTGTAGGAAGCCTTCTGCCAGCTGTGTACTGCCAGAGACTCGCCTGTCCCCTGGCAGGGGTTGGGATCCATATGGGGACAGTCAGCAGCTTTTAGCCCAGAACATGCCTGTGTTATAACCTGGCTGCCCTGCACCTAAGAGCTTGATCCAAGCCCTGGCCACTTCATAAAAGGGCTGTGTCTTCCTTCCACACAGCCAGGCTTTGGGGTATCCCTTGGCCACTGGGCACTCTAGGGAGCTGTTGCTAGAGATGGAGGCATTGTGGAGACCCCACAGGCCAGGGGCTCTGAGAGAGATTGATTAAGGCTTGTGTCTAGATGTCATTCCTTCATCACACACATCAGCAGACATGGCCTCATGACCCATTGAGGGAGCTGGCAGCCTCCCCTCCAGCCATAGCAGTGTTCAGAGCCATGCAGCCTATGTCCCCTCAGCTCCCTTCTGGGAGACGGGAGGGGCAAAGCCTGAGGCTAGCTCCCTCACCCGTAGCTTGTAAGCACAGGCTAACAGAGAACCCTGGTCACTGGTCAGTAATTGCTCCTCCACAACCCAAGCCCATATTTTAGAGGTCTCCAGACCCTGCTGCAGCCCAGCCAGCATGTAGGGGTAAGCCCAGCACTGCAGCATAGTTTCCAAGCAGAGTCACTGATCCCTGCGTCTTAGGAGGAGACAGGAGCAGAGATCCTCTTATCAATTTCATGGCATGTGGCTGTCTCTTTTTCTCTTGACCTTCCCTTCCCTGCCTCACCCGCCTCCCATCCAACAGACCTTTCACGGAAGAAATCTATCGACAGAAACAGAAGGCAGTGAAGAGCAAATAGCAAGAGGTGCGTATGCAGGGGATCAAGGCAAGAGCGAGGGGCGTAGGATTTCAGTGGGATGGTTTTCCGGACCCTTAATTGACACAAGATCATTTGATGGGCTAAGGCAGGGGTGTCACACTGGCAGCTTGCGGGCTGTGTACCCATGAGGGGTCCGAAGGAAGCCCACGAGCCCCAACAGCTGCATCTCCTGCTGCCATGTGGCAGGAAAGGGCCTAGTGGGTCTGTCCACCACTGGGGGTAAGGGGGAGCACATGGCAGTCCAGTACTGGACAGCCCTGGGCTAAGGGCTCAGGCTGGCTTCTCAGTTTGCCCTTCCCTCAACCATGGCTTTGCTGGCTCTTCCCACTCCCTTCCTGCCATTCTTTAGAGAGCTGAACATCAAACCCCTGCAACACCCAGCCAGGAAGGTTTATTTTTCTACCATGGGTTTTGCTTCCACCTCCTGGCATCCAGTCGGCTCTGAAGTGAGCACCGCAGAATTGTTTTTGATTATAGGCTCGAGAGTGGAGGTGAGGTGGGATTAGCAGGGAACATAGAAGTGAAACATTTAATCTTAGCCATGTAAGCAAAAGCCCTGGCTGTATAGCTGGGGCTCTCAGACGCACGAGCTACCAGTCTTGTGGGGGGCAAACCGGTCTGCAAGCTGACATTTTGCACACAGAAAACAGGCCTCGTGGCTCCGCTGCAAGTGGGGATCGGGCTGTTCCACGCCTCTACTTGGGCTGCCTGCGTGAGGCAGTGTCAGCTCAATAGGCCTCCTTCTCAGACACACACCTACAAGCTCCCCTCTAATTGTGGCCTACTGCTGGGGTGGCCAGCCTACACCATGCATGCCACAAATGGTGTGGGCAGCCTCTGTGTTGGGGTGTGCCTGTATGGGAGAGGGGGTAGGCAGCAGAATGACAGATAGGGCAAGGAGTGGGAAGCAGAGCAGCAGATCAGGCAGGGATTAAAAAACAGCAGCACATTGGGAAAGGGATCGGCATGACACTCAGGGAAGGGTGGGGTTAATTGGTGGCACATGTATCAAAAAATGGTCCCCCGCTGGCCTGGCAGCTGCACACAGCTACTGGGATTGCCCCTATCTCTAGTGGTAAATGTGCTGCTACACACATTTTGGCCAGGGGTTGCCAGTGACGGAGACCTCAATTTTTGGATGCTTCATTTGAAATGCCTTAAAGAGACCCAGTTGTCCAACTCCAGTGTGGAGCCCCTGTCCAACCCCAACAAAAGGCCCCTCAGAACCGTAAGTCACCTCTGCTAGCACACAGTAAGCAGGACTGAGTTCAGGGACTCTGGGGCTACTTCCATGCCTGTGGTCCAGTTGCCACATACCATATGTGATCTCCTGCAGGTGTTAGAAAGTGCATGTCATTGCAGCCCCTGCCTGGATATCCTGCACCGGAGCAAAGCCAGCCCACGTCCTCTAAAGAGATTTGTCTCCAAGTGGCTGTAATCAATTGAGAAGCCCAGAGACACAGGCCCTGTCCCTAGTATAGTCCTGAAAGGTGCTCCTGTCACGGGGTAACAGGCTTTTGGTCTGTCTCTCTCTTTTCTAAGGCAGTTTCTCAGCCCTCTTGCTGCATGATGTGGTTTCCTGGACCCGTTGATGTCTGATCTGCCTGTTTTCCCATTGAGATGTATCCTGCTAATTAGTCCAACAATCCCCAGTGAGCACCTTGTGCCAACTCAGCGCACCACCGCACCTACGCCAACCCAGGAAACAGAAGAACCAGATGACTGCACCCTCCAGTCACGGCCCTGCAGGGGGGATTCTCTGGAACTCGGCTTGCCTCTTACATCTCCTCCTTTCAGCCTGGATCAAAGGATACTGCAACAGTGCATGAAAGGGGCAGCCAACAAGGAGAAGGCCATCTCGGAGGGGAAGTACTGTGTGGCACTTTCCCACCTATCCTGGAACAAAGCAAAACCACTTATTTAGCAGCCAGCAACTCTCCCTCTTCCCAGCCAGCTTTGAGTCCTAACAGACGGGCGAGTGAAGTAGCCCTGGAGATGCTTAGAAGCACTTGTTTGGAACAGGGGCTCTCTGCTGTTGCCTGGCTGGCGTGCAGCCATCCCAGGAACCAGGCTGTGATTTTCGGAGGGCCGTGCAGCTGTGAAGACCTCGGGACTGAACCACTGCTGTGCGCGTCTCAATCTGGCGCATCGAATCCAGGCATGAGCTGTCACTGCAGCGCTCACTTGAGACGCTGCCACTGTCAAGGCTTTGGTAGGCATCCCAGGTCCTCTCAGAATCCGGTGGCAGCATTGCAAACAGGCTCGCCATAAAGGAGTGTGGGACAAAGTCTGGCTCAAGCCGTCAGCCTGCATGAGAGTTCAGCCTCTGTGGAGCAGGTGTTGTGCCCATGCAGGGGCTGCTTGGCTGGATTTGAACCTGCAGCCAGGGGAGAAAACTAGCAGGAGAACTGGGAGGCATGTGCATATCCTCAGGGAATAGGGAGAAATAGGATGCCATGGGACTGAGTGTATTAGCCAGGGGAAAATTGTCCCAGGATTCTGCACTAGGTAGAGCGGCCGTGATCTCTGGTGGCGCTGGCAGTCAGAACTCTGCCTCTGTCGCTGTGTAACCTGAAGCATGTGGCTAAGAGCTTGCTCTGCAAAGCCTAGAGCTCAAGTTGAAGCCCCGAGACATGCTGGCACTCGCACCTCCACCCACCCAGCCCTTAAACTGCCACTCATCATACTGACCTGACCCTCGCAGGACTTGTGAGGCTCAATAACTGAATGCATGTAACATGCTTTGTACCCCAGGGCTGGACAGTGTGGTCTCTGGAGAGGGGCACCGTGCCCATATGGAAAGGTGTCCATGCAGAGAGATTTGTGGCCTCTGAGCTGCCTTTTTGTCTCAGGCGCCTGCCCGTCTGTTCCACCACCTGGATTGTGAAGGGGTGGCAGACGGCAGCTCGGGAACAGCATTTATGTGCTGGAACTGCCACGCCAGCCAAGAACAAAGGGTGCAGAGAGCCTCAGCCCCCTTCTTCTGCTCCCTGCCCATACACACATGTGCTGTGCTACGTAACTCTACCAGATAAACCGGCCCACCTTGCACAGTGCTGCCGAAGTGTGGAGTCCCCAGGGAAACTTTGTAGTTTCCCTCCAGGTTTGCTGTCATCTGCAGAGGGAGGCTGTGCTCCCCCACACCTTTACCCTCAAGCACAGAGTATCACCAGTGGGTTTGAGCTCTTCATTTTTGCCCTGCAGCGGGGGGGTCCTCTTTCAGTTATTTTCTTGTTCGCCTTTGTCCCAAGGAGACCATTCCACCATCCCCACGACACCAGGGACTGAATTTCTAGCTGCTGTTTTATTCAGAGGGTCCCAGGGCTGGAACCCAGTCTGAACAAGGAAAGATGTCACAGATAAGAGCTCAAGACTGTGTAGTCAAGGAGAAGAAAGACAAGGGAAGAGGATAAACAGCAGCAGGGCTTGTGATGTGCCTGGAACAAAACTGGATAAAGCGAGACAGTGGGAGGTGGGTTTGTCCCAACTCAGGCACTGATGCACTGTCGGAAGTTTGTCAGCTCTCTGCAACCTCGCTGTTCCCTTCTCTGCAGCCTGTCTCCCAGGGCTGTGCAAGTGTTAAGTCATGTGTGCAACCTCCTGAGTTAGTTTGGTGGAAACCATTACTAAACATCCTAGCACAAGGACCCTCGGCGCTCAGTGTTACTCACCAAACCAGTGTTCTCTCCAATACAGCCTCGTTCCTTCCCATCAACTCTAAGCTTTCCCAGGCTATTCCTGTGCTCTCACTGCCAGTCATCTCCAGCAGGCCCTTTGATAATTGCTCTCGGTCACACAGTTTCTGCTGCAGTACATTTTCCTAAGGTCTCTGGTTGTCGAAATTACCCACTTCACTTGGCCTTTTCTTTCTGAACTGGCTCCAGCATCCCAAACTCCCTGCAGGGATGGCAGAAAGGAGAAGAGGAACACCGTGTTGCAAACACATATCATTCTGAAAACACAACGAAGTCCCAGGGACTGTGACTGAAAACTGGCTAAAAGAGAGCGTTTGCTTCCAATGGGCCCCGAAGTTTCTGAACCTCGTCTACATCTCTGCAAGACGGTTGGACTTTTTGGCTTTTGCACAGCTGCAGAGTTGTGCAGCTCACTCTGTAATCCCCCTCCCCCACAACATTCCCAAAAGAGAATTAAACCTGGGGTTTTTTAATCGCAGGTTTGTTTGCATCCAGTCTGTTTTACAGTTGCTCTGCTTACATTTCTTCGTTTCAGACCCATTAAGCGGTGGGATTTGTTTTCTTTCTCAGCCGCCTTATTTATAAACACTTTGGCATAGTATTTTATTTTTAGCTAAGTTTCCACATCCCCTTCACAGTTAATGTTTACAGATGGAGGCTAAATGGCCCAGTACCCATAGCAACCAATGAGGAGATATATTACATTATTCAGACAATTTATGTCAGAGTTGCTAGTTCTGGCCTGAAGTAACCAATATAAATAAACTCCTCATTGCTGATGGGCAGCGAGTGTTTTCAGAGGAAAATAATCTTTTCCAAAGAAGTAAGCATCTGACTGGAATTAGGTTACGGCTGAATCTTGCCCTTCTCTGGGCCCATAAATCATCAGATGTTTCAGGGTAGCGAGAACTTGCTTGCAATTCTAAAATGTAAGCATGAGTGACCCAGTTTGGTCCTGAGACTGTAAGATACCAGTGTCAGGACCGCGTGCGTCTGCCCAGCACTGCATAACACTTTGCAGCCTTGATGCTGATCTGGGCCTCGGGGCATTGTCTCAGCACAAACAATATGCAGATCTTCCCATTAAATAGTGGACAGTGGAGTGGGTTAGAGAGGGGTCAGGTGGGAATGAAGCCAGTGAAGATGTGTACTCAGGAGGCCATGTTGGATTTTGCTTCTGGCTCAGAGAAGGAACACCAGCACCAAGGAAAGCCCCAACTGCATTTGCAGAGCGCACGGCTCTATTTGGGCCCCACCATAATATCCTGGCGAGACCACATTTTCTGCCCAGCCTTTTACAGAGAGTGGCCTGGAAGAGCCCAGCTCCTGGCATCTGGCTGGGGCCCATATACAAGCTGTTTCAGAAGCTTTTCCAGTGTTTTCCCCAGCGCTCATGTGAGTCTTTCCACTGCTGCTGGAAAGCTTGACTCCATCCATCTTTGACTTATCACCCCTGGCCGGGAGGCAGCCTTAGATACTTGTTGCATTTAAACATAACCCAGACGTGAGAGAGACCCTTTGGTGTTGGGATGAAGGGCAGATGGGTGGGTTGCCCCACAGACCCGGGATCCAGTTTTTTAAAAGCAAGAGCTGCTTCCGTTTCCTCACTGGTGACACCCCCTCTCCCCTCCATCTACCACAAGAGATGGTCATATCTTCCCTGCTGCTTGGTTTGGTGGACCAGGATGCCTGATTCCCACAGCACCTTCCCTCTTTCTCCTGGGACTGGGGGTGAGGGGTGCCACATTAGCTGGCTGTAGGACATTGGTGCCCCAGAGACACTGGCCAGCTAGGCGGGTGGGAGAGAAACCATGATCCCCTGGGTAAAGGAGCAGAGAAACCACCCTCTGTGTGGGTAAGGAGATGCCAGCTTCATTAGTGACTGTCACGGAGAGTGAAGAGAGCCCCATCCCCAGGCACCTTCAGTCTCCCCCTAAACGTCCCAGGCCATGATGGCATGTAGCCCCTGGGGAGGGGGGCTTTGCATGTGTGCTAGGATCACTTAGACATTTTCATCTGCCCTTGGGCATTTGTAATAACAGCGTGTTACCACCCCAGATCCAGCCTGGATCCATCCCCATTGCATCCCTGTTGCTCTGTAGAGCTGAAGACAGTGCATAATGCAAAGGCTCTAGTCCCTGGAGTGGAGCCCTTCCAAACTGAGCACCATGTTCTGCCCCCAGGACCTCTCCTCTGACAGGAGAAGCAGCCCTGGGGGAGCAGTTCTCCCCAAGCTGGGCCACTGGAGCTTTGGGTGGGTAAAAGCCAGAGGAGCCACTATTCTAGGGCCATGAAACCAAGCTGCATTTTAGCCCAAGGCCTCCATGAAGAGTAGTAGTAAGCAAAGGGATGCTTCCTCACTGCCCTCCTCCAGGCACCTGGGTGCTCCCCCTGCACGCATCTTCTCAGACCCAGGTAGAGAACACCATGGAGCTGGGCAGCTTAGCCTCTGCAGCTCTGCATGCCACCCCTTCCAGGTATCTGAAATCTGCTGAGCAGGAAGAAAAAACACCCCACACTCTTGTTTCTCCCTCCTTAATGAGGCTAGGCTGAATTAAGGTCTGCTGCGATCCCAGGCAGCAAGGTAGTAGCCCACAGGTGTGGGCAGTTGCTGATGCACTCAGTGGTTGGCTGCCACCCCCCATCCCTGGGCCCACACACCTGGAGGCTATAAAGAGGAGGCTTGGTAGGGGCTTGACTTCAGGTCCACAGGGATGTGCTGGCCAGGAAAAGGCTGGGTTGAAAACAGCTGGGGCCTAGTGTGCTTTATGTAAGACCCGAGAGCTTTGTGCCCAGGGACCTTAGGGGTAAGGGATGAATGAGTAGTGCAGACTCTGAAAGCAAAGGAACAGATCGAGTCCCTTGAAGCTGGGCTGCTTTCCACACCCACGCATGAGACTTTGCTTGCATCCCAGCTGAGGGATGGGGGCATCCATTTGAGTGGGTGCAGTGGCGGCTGAGGGGGGTAGAGCTCTGGGAAGTGGGGAAATGAGTAGGAGAAACTGAAGCTGTCTTGCATGAACCAAGGGAGAAGCAGATGAAGTTGCTCCTGAGTCCTGCAGCATAGCAGGAGCTGGCTCCAGGGGGAAATGGAAAGCCTGGGTTGTGAGAAGGGAAGGGTGAGGGAATTGTCTAGCAAGCTCCATATATCTCAGGCATGGTCACAGGCACCACTTTCCCCCAGCCCCCTTCTAGCTATTTGGGTGCAAAAGGCCCCAGAGATACCTGCAGGCAGTTATGCAGTGCTGGGTTATATCTCCATTGCAGGGAGGTCAGTGATGCAAAACTTGGGGGCATCTGAGCCCCAAACCTCTGGGCTTGGGCCTGCATGTAGGATGCCTGCCAAAGGATTTAGAAGTATCTGAAGCCCCAGGGGTCTACCGCTCCTGTAGGACCAGGCCACATCATTTCCAATGCTCCTGCTGCTGAAATATTCAGCTGCTCTAGGTAATGGGCAGACAATGGGCTCAGGGGTGGATTCAGAATAGAGTTCCTCGCTCCCTGCTCTGATCTTGGCCCCATTCTTGGTTCCAGTTCATACCCAGGAGCTTGAATGTTTTAGTTTCACGTCAAGTTTACAAATAAGGTTAATAATAGTGATTTGAAGAGGAACCAAAAACCAATTATTCGGAACATTTTGGACCTGAATCAATCGCACTTGGGTGCGGTTTTACAAACTACTTCCTTTTTGAATTAACACATTTTGAGTGCGAGGGGAAAGGACCTTTTCCCCTTTATGTTTCTGGGCCCTCATGGCTACAATATTGCTCTTATACTACCACATTTTATGTCAAATTCCATCTTTCCATAGCAGTCATGCGCCCCAGACCTTCCCAAAGCGATGGGAGGGGAGGCACAAGGGTTTTTCTAGTGCTGTGCAGAACGTGCCCAGTTCTATTATGTCTCCTTTTGGCCATGGGCACGTGTCCATGCGTCACTGTGTTTGGAACTGATTTTACCTACCACGACTCCTGATTTTGCACATCCTTTGCTAAGTCATAGCCACTGCTTTAGTCCCTGAAAAGCACAAGAGCCTGAAGGTGATAGCTGCACACACTCTGATGAGGATCCACGTTTGCTCTGCGTCTGTCTTGTTTTGTGTGGCTTATAGATTAAATTTCTGGCAGTCCTCCAGCTGCAAACACAATGTGGGCTAAAGTGCAATACTGCTTACCTCAAAGGCCCTGAGGGAGGGGGGCAGGTGATGCCAAACAAATTTATATTTTTTCCAGTGTTTGATATGTGAGGGAGGATTAGGAGACTGCACTTCACATCTGAGGCAAGGCTTAGTTCCCTTTTAATTACCAAGTGCAGCCATTCTAAGAGTCTTAACAGATGGGTTGGAGACCGCTTCTGTGAGCAGCTCCAGACTCAGCACCAGAAGAAACATCCAGTAGGAGCCAGTGGTTATTTTCTCCATGTCAGTGGGGGATTCAGACTGGGCAAAGCTATGGGAAACCAGCTGGAGGAGGACAGTCCTGCAGCAGGCTGGGAATGGCCTTGGTGATCTACTAGATCTCAAGAGGGTGTAAAGCCAGGAGGGCCTGTCATGGGGGAATGTTCTTGGTTGAGTTGATTCTGGTTTGGGCAGGGGGTTGCACTAAATAACTTCTCAAGGTCCCTTCTGATCCTGTTCTCTATGATCATCTCCTCCACCCTGCCCTCCCACTGCACTTGACTTGTACTGGAGCATTTCACCC